ATCAATCATGGCTCAAGAATTTAAAATTTTAAATGACTCCATGACATGTTTTAGCGAATAAGGTGTTCAAGAGGGGTTTGTTGTGAACAAGGGAAGACATTTGCCTGGAGAATATTAGGCTTTAATCACCAAATCTCTTACTAACACAAACATGGCAGCAAACTGCGACCATGAGGATTGCAGGCTCATACAATAAAGTCAAATCACACTACATATACAGTACAACGAATCATAATGTAATGCTATACGTCACACAACTCTTGCAGTTTTCAAGTGTTTCTAGTTTCTAGCTTTAGTTTGCAAATTATCATTTACACCACAGGGTTTAAAGAGTGCCAATTTTTCGAATAAATCTTACTCCTTAAAAACTGTAATTTGTTCTTGAAAAGTCCTTGAAATTTGCTTGTCTGAAGTTGTAGGAACCAATGATGATTTGGGTCAGGTGGATGAATCTTGATGCCTATGAAACACCAGATAAAACACCATGCACCAACAGGTTTTCATCTGAGATCAAACACTTGTATTCGCATTTTTGTTATACTCAGACTGTATACTTCATCACGGGTTCCAAACACCTCGAAGCAGATGAAAGCTTCTGGCCTACGGCCTCCTGCTGTTTCTTGGTGTTTGGCACTCGCCCTCGTTCTTAACATCTTACTTGAAATACTCTTGTGTATATCAACAAGAGTTTAAGTTACTTATCGCTGTAAAATGTGTAAAAAATACATGTTTAGTACATGCGATTGTAAAACTGTTTCTCTTTTCCTGTTATTGTAGGCTCTTGAAATTGAAAAACAGAACATAAAAGCACTATTCAGAAGAGGAAAAGTAAGTTGTTAGACTTTATGTAATTTGAAGTCGACATGCATTACTTGATTCAGGTTATAATACAGTAAAACCCCGCAACTTAGAACCTGCCATGGATCTTAAGAACCTGTTGGGCTAAAATTTGCCTTTTAGGCCCCCTCTATACAAGAACCTGTTTCTGAAGCCTAAAATTTAAAACAGGTTCTTATTTTCTAAAATCTATGAAAAAAGTCTGTGCACTTGGGCAAATATTAGATAAGTCAACATTCAGAATTTTCTTTGCAGAGTTAGCCGCCTCATCACTCCAACTGCAATTATTTAAATGCCAATGTAGTCAATGAGATCAATGCTTTACTTCTTCCTTTTATGGTCATTTTTACATAACTTCAAATTTGGTATGCAGATTTTATAGAATATGAGGAATAAGCTGAACCACTAAATACTCTTAGCTACATCGTATTTTGTGTCTTTAGGAATTAGAAAATAAGAAACCATTTAAGAACCTAAATAGCTTAAACTTGTGCTAACTACCATTTTATTATAGGAACCTGTTTAGGCTAACTTGGTAAAATTTAGGTCTTAGAACGCAGAACGAGTGATGGGGCAAGTCGAAAGCACCCATGCAAGCTTTTGTTGGATTTTTTTCAGCTCTGATTGAAAGCTGTTCTACGTTGTGCCTTCATTTGTAGTCAAGCCCAAAAGAGCTAACAAAAACATACATATCATAAAAAAGACGTTCAACAGGCTGTGTAACTATCCCCCTTTATTTACAATTGCCACCTCTGCAGGATTTCGTCCAAATACTCAAAAGGTAGAATTTGCTACCCAGAAGCTTGGTAATCGTGATAATCATGATAGTGATAATCAGAAAACTTGAAAATAATTAGAAGCAGGGAGTAATGAGAATACCTTTAATAGAGTGTCGGACACTTGGTTAATAGGGCCATTTATACGAGGAAATATAAGACGCGTCTTACATAAGACCCGTCTTAAATAAGACGCGCACTGTACCATTTATACGAGCATGTCTTATCTAATAAGACGCGTCTTAGCTAAGCCGCGTCTTATTTTAGACGAAATGTGCCGTTTATACAGAAAGT